CCTCCCCCCCCCCATATCTATCTCTCTCTCCCCCCCCCATATCTCTCTCTCTCTCTCCCTCATTCATCAGTCCCTGTAGCTCTTTTCACTCTCTACCAGGCCTTTTCTCCCAATCTCCCACTTTCACTCCTGCCTCTATCACATTAGCTGTTGTCTTTACTTAATACATGGTTTATGCACTGATTTTCCCACATGGGCTGCATTTTCCTTTCAGTGTGTTGCATCTTCTGTAAAAAGCAGTCTTCATCCATGCTCAGTCACCACACTACAGCTTTTCTCTAAAGTATACAGTGTGACCCCTTATAACATACAGTAAAGTATATATTATTAGTTATTCAAACAGCCTAATCATTAAAACTATAGATATGTTTTGTTTTTGATAGGAGTCCTTCTTTGAAAAGAAATTCAATACCAGGCATCTTGTTGTAACAAAGTAGATCATAAAAGTTTCACAAACTACTAAATGTGGCAGAGAAATTAAAGCTTCACCAATGTAAATCCATTTGCATAATTACAGTACATGCATAAATAATACAATACATTAAACAAATGTGCAGTGCTATTCAATCTAATTAAAAAATAAGAGAAAGTGAGATTATGTTGGTATTCAACACAGAGAATGTAACACTTATTGGGGGTTTTCTGTTCCGTTTTCAAAATGAATACTGCCTCTTCCTGAATAGATAATTAATGTAAAGCTGTACAAGAAATATCACTGATAAATAAATGTCTGTGTATAGCTATCCATCCCAGTAAGCAAGAGGTCTGGGAGAGTAAGGGACAAGCTGGCCATGAATGGGCAGATATCTCTCAAAAATGACAAGTAGACATCTTTCCATCTTTGAAATGTAAATTGGTTTTTATCTATTGCATTTTTAAATTAATACGGCCTCTTATTGAATAGATAACTTATTTAAAGACATACAAGAAACATCACTGTTTAAATTAATCACTGTGTTAAATGGCAAAGCTTCTTCTATCTATCTATCTATCTATCTATCTATCTATCTATCTATCTATCTATCTATCTATCTATCTATCTATCTATCTATCGGATCTACTGGATCTATCTACATGGTGTTGAATATAGTTGCCTCGATGTTTGATGCAGCATTTAGATTTTTATTTTTTGCCATAGAATATGCAATGTCCTCAGGAACGTTCAAATAAAGAACTTTTGCAGGATTTGTTTTTTTATTTACACACATTACAAGAGACCTCTAGCTTTTAATTATGTTTCATCTGCAGGGTGGGGACAAGGCAGCAAGACCCCAGTATTGCATGGATTTTGGCCAGTCAAAAATGAGTAATCAAGGCCTCACTGCCCCCCTACCCGCTGGTTGCTAGGATGCTGTCAGCCCACAGCATCACTGGCCTCTAGCAGAGTGTTGCTCCACAGCATCATTGGTTGCTTAGATGCGGGCAACCCACAGATTAAACAACACTTTGAACCAAAGGGTTTTTGTGATGCCCTTTTAGATGTGTAAGTGGTATGTATTGCAAAAAAAAGTCAACTAGTGTCTTAAATGGAATAAATAAAAGACAACTATACTATGTTGTATTTTCAGTACGCATTCTGAGTTATTGTTGTATGATTCTTATGTCATTTGTTTGTGATTTTCACATTTGTACATGCATGCTGCTCTGTTATCTTCATGGGTATAGTTAGATTCATAGGTTCTTTCCTTAGTGGCCATCTGTGTTTCAGGTTGTGCACTGCTGAGATAACAGGATAAGCCGCCTCAAAATTGTATTTGTTTCAGTCAGTTGGATCAGAATGGTAGGCTTGCAATGACAGAGAGAAGAATTGTAAAGACAGTCTTGGTGCAGCACTACTAAGATGGTAGCAATGGTCTACATATGTAATAAAACAGTCTGAACGCCCCCATGTACTATTTCCTGTATAAGGAATCCACAATCCAATTTGGAGCTTTACCATATTTAGTCTGTTGTAATGCAGAGGATGTGTACTAAATTCCTGTACTGTGATTCGCTCTTATTGTCCTAGGCAGGAAGCTTCAAAACAGCGGGTAAATCTATTATTTACTACTATATTGTTGCCTAGTGGGCTTAAATTCATTACCTGTAATTAACTTGGGGCACCATGATTTTGATGTGATAAAAATCTGTTTACCTCCACGGTGTACTTTCTTTTTTTTTTTTTTTACAACATACAACAAATCAATCAATCTGTGTGCTAGCACTTGCGCTTTAAATCCAGTGATTGACACAACGTTTGATGTAGTGTGCCCGCCCCTGTGTGAGCTTTGCTAATTTACAAAAAGCACGATCGCAGAATCATCACAAGCTACTTTTGTGAATACCTTTGTGAAGTGCACACAGGAGTTAAGGTTAATGCATATCCAATCCCAAGAAATGTAATATATTTCAGTGGTGCTTGTGGTGTGGTGTTTTTTTTATTTTTCAGGCTAATAACATTTTCTAGCAAGTACATGAAATACCTGTTGATCTTGCCAGAAATGCAGGGTCCTTGTCATCCTCTGAGCTGAAAAGATACCAAAAACATGTTCCCATCAACATGTTTAAAATCCAGCTGGTATGACAACCATGGCTCCCTCTATAGAAACATTGGAGAAGTGAGTTTAGTCACAAAGGGACAGGAAGTGCACTATGTGCAGGATTACAAGGTGAAAGTAAAGGGAAAAAGGCTGGAAAAAGAAAATGAATGCAGTCACCTTATCGATTGACCGGGACGCTGCAATATATTATATTTTTAGTTTTTGGTTTAAAGAAGCATAAAAAAAACAAAAATCTCATATACAAAATAAATAAAAAGCACACGAAAAAAATTAAAAGTCCCCCGCCCCCACACGCAAACATGCGTCGGGTGCCTACGTGCAAAAACGATTGTGCCCATTACGCCACACATGTTGCACATCACCGCGAATGTCAGAGCGCAAGAAATCATTTTAGGGCCATCAATCACTGTTAACGCTAAACCGCTGAGCGGTAAAAGCTTTTAAAGCGTTGCCTATGGTCAATTTTGGGTATGGTAGTTATTTTGCGATTTCGCGGGTGGACATCATTTTAAGGCTTGACATGTTTGGTGTCTATTTACCCGACGTGACCCCGTCTTTTATATTTTACTAAAAAATTGGGTAATAATAAATAATGTATAATTAATACATAATGTAAAAAAAAAATTCAGAATTTTCTGTAGTTTTTCTTTAATATAGTAAAAAATAAATCACCAGTGGTGATTAAATACCACCAAAAGAAAGCTCTATCTGTCCCCAAAAAATGGTATAAAAATTAATTTCAGTACAGCTTTGCATGACGGAAAAATGGCCTGGCCAGGAAGGGGGTGTAAACACCTGGTCAGCAAGTGGTTAAAGACTTTATCGTAGCGGCTTGAATCTTGCTAAAAGCTTTGCAAATGCCTTATACAAGTTATTTATTATACACATGTACTTTGTACATTGTTCTTTCACAAGATGCTGTCAATAATGTCTTTAAATCCTGCAGGCAAAAGTACTGGTATCTGTCTTCTCATTCGTTATCCTTGTTACAACAGTGGTCTGGAAGAGGGTGGGGCAACACTAGAAGCCAATGAGCATCTACTGTATTGCTCAGTGCTACCCATCTAACATTGAGAGCTTCCTGAGAGAAGTATGAGTGTTGACCTCATGAGCGTGCTGCTATTGCTGCTTCACAGGCTGGGGTCATTTCTAGACTAGGGCATATTGCTCAACTTAATTGTAGTGTACAGAAATATTTATGGGAGTTTAGGACTTGGCTGTATTGTTAGGGTTGCTTGGTATACAAGGTCGGCTGCACAGAACAACTGTAGAAATTCTTTAGCAGGTACATCAGTTCACATATATGTAATTCAACTAATTCAGCTTTACTCTTTCATTAAAGATGAATTCATTTTACATAATGGTAAACCCAGAACAGTGTACGTTTTTAACAAATAAACTCAAAGTATTCAATGTTGTATGCATTACAAATTGAGCTAAAATTATTATATAGGAAATTATTATTTCATTGAAACAGAATTCCTTTTATTTGATTTACTTGCATACTTTAAATGATATGTTTGAATCCAGAAATTTCCATTCTCTAGTGTAGTATGCAGATTCTACAAATTCTTCTAATTAGTGGGAAGCTGGGCTTGTTTAATAAGAGTGCGAGAAATAGCTGTAGGTTAGATTCTAGTACCAGATGGGATTCATATTTTGTTTAGCGGCATGTTAGAAATACTGTCACACAAGAGCATCAATGTGTGCCATGGAGAGAAGTTTGGTGTTTG